GGTAATTGCTTTACAAATTCTAACGTAACTTATGATCTAGCAGTTTCCTATGATCCTGTCTCAAGGCCGTACTTTTTGGAAGGTTGTTGGAATTTTTCATCTACGGTAACTCTTTATGTTTGTAAGAAACAGGTTTAAGAAGCATCTGACTTTTAATTTAAAATGGTAATCAGCTTATTGTTAACACTGGCGAATAAAATAATTGTTTGGAATTATAGGAGCTAAGTAAATATAACAAAAATTATGAGATTATAATATACTCTCGCTTAAATAACTCCTAGGACTTGGGAAATGGGTTAGAATTTTACAATTGGTTATTTTGTGGCAACGAATTGAGTCACAGTTCGGGTTTCGATGATCGCAATCTTTGGTTTTGATTTGTGTTTTATCAATACTTTTCGATCATCATACATGTATATCAGAAAATGCAAACCTGATACTAATATAATTATATGGGTTGGCAATGTACAAACATTACAAAGAATTTGAGTCATACATAAAGTTGGACTATCTGAAGATTTGTGAATGCAAGGTTTCGACGGTGTTTGGTCACTAATTTTCAAAGACAGTTCTCGGCTTTCAGAAAATTATACGATGGCATAAAGCAATTGTGCCATATTAAGGAATTTAGTTGCGTAAGGGAAACTTTGAATTTACTCTCCTTTTCTTTTCAGGTTATGGTCACAGCACCCCACAAACAGTGGGTGGGAAAATTGTATGCATGTTGTACGCCTTGGCTGGCATACCGCTTTGTATTATCATGTTCCAAAGTGTTGGTGAGCGACTTAATGTGTTCGTTACCTACCTCCTAAAACAAATCAAGAAATGCTTCAAGATGAAGAACTCCGAGGTGTCCGAAACAAACGTTATCCTGGTTACAATGAATCTTTCAACAATTGTGCTCACAAGCGGCGCTCTTCTTTTCTCGCATTATGAGGGATGGAATCTTGTGGATGCATTTTACTACTGTTTTATCACCCTTACAACGATAGGGTTCGGAGATTTTGTGGCTCTCCAGAAAGGAGATTCTCTTCAGAAAAATCCCCAGTATGTGGCCATGAGCATGATTTTCATTTTATTTGGATTGACAGTGATATCTGCAGCTATGAATTTACTAGTTCTTCGGTTTTTAACGATGAATACAGAAGATGAACGAAGGGACGAGCTGGAAGCTGCTGCAGCTGCGCAGAATGCAGTTCGTTTGGACGGTGACGTCATCACATCTAACGGGAACGTTGTCTCAAATGCACAGGAGCGACCGGAACAGAATGAGATTATTTCCGTTTGTTCTTGCTCGTGTTACAAATGGCGATCAAATAGAGAGAAAGTGTATGACAGACACAGCCAAAGGAAGATTTCAAATTTTTACTCTGGGAAAAGTGGCGGCACAGAAGAAATGGATTCCTTCATACCGGTCAATTACCGCAAAAGAACATCTTTATAAAACCTTTGCTCAGTTTTATTTGTCTAGAACTAATTTGTTATGTGCATCATTACTAAGTCATTATATGTGCCATTTTAAGTGATTTATCGCAATTTAATATGGGATAACATCAAGCTGAGTTGGCTGATATAAATTAAATTGAGCTTGTATTTGTTATTTGACAGAGAAATGCAATCGGATAGAGATAGAATTCGACTTGTTGAGACCAAAAGTTAGAATCCCACTGAAAATAAACGTAGATAACACAGATTATCAGCTGATACTGAGTGAATAAAAATGTTTTAAGTCGATGTAAATAAAAATTAGAATCGATACATCTTTACATGCCCGTTATCTGTCGGTTGTGTCCTCTTTCAAACAGTCAAGAATACATTTGTGTGTGTGTTGTTGTTGGTGGGTTTCTTTTGGTTGTGGCTTTTTGATTGATAGTAAAACCAATGGTTTTTATGTTTTGCAACAAAAAATTTCATTTTAATCTTATTATATACTGTTGATGAATTATAGCGAGTGATGTTTGGATGGGACTGCCTTCGTCAACTTTCGCGTTCTTTAGATAATGCGTATATGTACGTACAACAAGGACTGTGGATCGAAAAGACCGTACCAACCAAATGAAAACTTTGTCTATATACAAAAATGAATGATGAAAACCATTTTACTTTAATGTGACACTTATATGAGGATTTAAGGACTAAGTGAATAAAGTATTATCGGAATCAACCAAACTTGTTTAGATTTTTTGAACTTGTACAGTCATAAAATATTACAACTATACACAACTTAGGTGTTTACATGTTTTCGGCCTTTGAAGAGAGAATATTCAATTTCTAAATAAATGACATTTGACGATGATCATGATGACAACAACGAAGATGATTTTTGTTATTATTATTATTATTATTATTATTATTATTATTATTATTATTATTGTTGTTGTTGTTGTTGTTGTTGTTGTTGTTGTTGTTAGCAGTATTAGTATCCCCAGGTAAATGTGATTTATATTATAGATTGTGTGTGAATGCTTGTTTCCCAGATGAATCTCTGTCCAACTTTGTTTTCAACAGAAACGTGTGTATGCATATGCGTGTGACGAAGAAGAGAGAGAGAGAGAGAGAGTGTGTGTGTGTATGTGTGTATGTGTGTGTGTGTGTGTGTGAACGAAACAATCGTTTTTCTATCATTGTTACAGTTATGAGATATTTCGTTTCCAAAGATGTATATACTTTTATTATGTAGCAATGTTTCCATGTTGATATATTACCCTGTGTATGTATCAAGTTTGTATTCTCTCGGTCCAGTTGTGCTAATGGAAATAAATAAAGACTTGTCTCGTAAAATCTACATCCATAGAAGTCTGTTAAAGTACTTATAGTGTATCTCATTATCTTTCCCTTTACCTTTAAAAATAAATATCTAAGATTTGTACCTTAATTTTAAGGATAATATCAATAATTGTTTTCTTTGAAATTCAAGAACAATACTTCATACAAGCAAAAACGCGAAGGCAACACATTGCGACAGATAACACACGTCTATAGAGAATTGCTCACTTTTAGATTTGACCCATCTAATCTACATTAAATATATTGTTAGCACAATTTGACAGAACGTTGGAACTCATCGCAATATAAATAATTTCCCATATTAAAAAAGAATATAATTTCACAGCTATCGCATTGTTGAAATTACTTCCAATTGTATCACAAACTCATAATTTGTGATTTTAGGAGGAGGGCTTAATGTTTCGTACTCCTTCAAATATATCAAATGTGGACGTGTTCATTCACCTTACTAGTGAATGAAATGTCTACCGACCATGTAATTGAACTATGAATGAATCTGACACCATACTCCAAAACGTCCAGCAATGGATTTAACAGAGTTAAACGAGTGATACAAGGAAATGATATTGTTCAACGGAACAAGTTTGACTGTAACTTCGACGGATAATCAAACAAGAATTAACGTAAGGAACTTGCAAACAAATATTGGCTGATATATAAATGTGTCACCATGGATATCAAAGTATACAATTCAAACAAGAACATAAACAATATATATTCTATCACTAAGGGTGACAAAAGTATAGAATTTGTACAGAACTATGAATAATGTTGCATCAAAAGGTTTGATAGGATTTATTGATTTCACTCGTACATTTATATTGAATATTGAATATAAAAAAATAATAAAACGTGTATGTCATGGCGTCTAGTTGAAGATCGATAGGTATTTCCTCAGCTCTCGACAAATGGTCAAAGAACCATCACGTATGGCCAGCCCATCTCAGTCTGCCGAATGCCATTCAGGAGCCTACCTGTTTCCAGCAGACATTTTTGTCCCGCTGGTTTGGTCCATCACTGAGAAAAATCAGTATCGTCTTTTGAGCCAACGAAACCCTTGACAGCAGCGTGCGGATAATACGAAACCCCACAATGTTCTACGACTCCCAGTCCAAAATCGACTAAAATTATACCGACTACAGCCGTATAATATACAAGACTCAGTTATGTACAAATGCAATGATATTTGTGAAGCACATGCGCAACGAATTTGCTTTGTTGCATAGTAAATCATATCATCAGAACTACTGTATGAGATTATTAGAATAACAAAGTTGGTACATGAACCTGTATCCAACAAGATCAATACTACTGATTTGTAAGAACTTGAAAAGTATTCACCCTTTAATATATGCAACGTATAAATGAACTAAATTTTCTGATAAGTTTTAAAAATGGCTGACTTATAACCGACTATAGTCTATCAGATCGCATGGTGTTATATAACAGGTCTAACAATCTTTAAATTTAGAATAAATACTGGAACATCCAAAATATCAAAACGATTTTATAACCTAATACGAATAGAGAAACACAAATAAATTGTGAATTTCACATTTTTCTATAATATACCGTTCACATAAATGTTATTGGTATGTTTATTTTTGAATACAAAAACAATACGGGGTTTGATTGGGCTAAACCCTCTGTGAGATAATTTGCCTTTCATGGTTTTCGTTTTGTTGAGAAATCCATCAGTAAAATGGTAATTTTGCTGACAAAAACTGGTTGTGTTGTGATAATAGTTAGACTTTATTTTATAAGTAGCCTGGCTATGGAGAAATCCAGGCACAGAAAGCTTAAGGTAATCGAATTTCTCACCGCAGCAACTTTGCTCATTGGTCAAACATTCAAGATAAAAATAAACAACCCTCAGGTAACTCTGCGTGCGGAAACAAAACCGTGTAGATTGTCGATCATATAAAAAGCGTTGGTATTATGTATGCACAGTTCCGTGATAATATTCAAAATTTTTTCTCAGCTTGAGAGATAAGCCATTCAAAAAGAATCGCACTCAAAAGAAAATAGCATGATGTTCAATATGGAAAAAATTTGGGGAAAAAATGATAAGAGAGTAAAATAAGTAATTCTAACATTTTCGATTCATTTACGTAGACATGGAATCTAAATGTTTAGGAACAAGCGAAATAATTACTTATCATTGTTATCTCTGTCACTTTCCATATCTGCATATATGTCATAGTGTTGAAACCACCCCGGCGGCCTAGTGGGTAGAGCGTCCGCCTCGGATGTGGGAGGTCGCGGGTTCGATACCAGTCTGTCATACCAAAGACTTAAAAAATGTCATGGTGTGAGGATAATGCGACTTAGTGGGACATCATGCTACACGTCTGAGACATGATGTACCAGTGCTAGACATCACCATAAACTGTCACATTGCAGACATCGTAGCGATGTGACTGAAACAATTATTAAAGCTACGTTAAAAGTCTGAATCACACACACACGCACGCACACACACGCATTACAATGCTCAATCTAACACAAACTTATCACACTCAAAATGCATAACATAAACATCACTTTAAGATGAACAGATTTTGTACTAGTGTGAACGACACTTGTCAATGAAGAGTTTTACCGAATCGCGTGGATTTTGGGAGAGGATAATAACGTCAGCTAATTTACTTGCAGGAGGTGCTTCTTCATGCCGTCCCGTAACCCTAAATGCCGATACGTATCACTAGTCATTTAACCTTATGTTTTTTCATTTTGTTTCCTACTTGTTCTCAGGATCATTAGTTGTATTCTCTCTCTCTCTCTCTCTCTCTCTCTCTCTCTCTCTCTCTCTCTCTCTCTCTCTCTCTCTCTCTCTCTCTCTCTCTCTCTCTGTCTCTCTATATATATATATATATATATATATATATATATATATATATATATATATATATATATATATATAATTCGTCGTGCATTGCATCTGTTAGATCTACTTGAAACAAGTGCAATTTATAGAGGATGGTAAGAGGACGCAACTCTTACAATTCAATTCTTCCGACTTCCGAGCATCTGTTATGTTAATCGATCCGAGTCCAAATCTGCCTCTGTGTATTTTATATATAAAGTTGGATTATATATATATATATATATATATATATATATATATATATATATATATATATATATACAATGACATAAGCAGATACGTATAAATAATGGAAATTACTTTTATAGATTTCTGACCCATTAAGGCTATTGTTATGTAGATAGGATATAGTTACACTGAAGCATTTGATTAACATTCTTGCAATAGCATCCTCAATACTGGGATAAAACATGAAGTGTATTATACATAATTGCTAAAGAGTGCAGTATTAAGAAACACTGAGTTTTCTTAAAGGAACTCACATCGACAAAAGCAATTAACGAATTGCCTATCCAAAAGGTAGATGTTGACATAATAGATGCTTCTCCCCATCCCCACTGCTTCTTTCCTCCTGGTTGGTGCAAAGAGAAAAATATTAGGGTTTAAAATTATAACTCACAGTACTGTATTTTCTTATATAAGTGTTTTGGAAGAGTGAGTCTGGAGCGGTTGACATTCGCACCATTTTTCCTGCTCCTGTTCATTCTCCTTTTGTCTTTCAAGTACATTTTGTAATTTGTATCATTTATCGTCCAGCTATTTGGCCGATGTGTTTGCATTGAGGTTTAAGCCAGACTAAAATCTCTAGGTGCGGGATTTTTCAGATATAATTATAAAAATGACGGCCCAATATCGGGCTTTATGGAAGTTAACCTTCTTTCAGTCCTTAGCAAGTATATTTTGGACATAAAAGAAAACACTGCGGGTAACAAGATGAGAAACAAAAGTCGGATCAATTGCGATGTCTGGCCATCGGTACTCTGCATGCTTTTCACAACAGACTGCTTCAAATCAAACTGCACAGCTGGACATCTCCTACCGAACGGTAAATCAAGACACGTGTGTGTGTGTGTGTGTGCGTGTGCGTGTGTGTGTGATTTAGATATTTTATATGTAGCTTTAACGATTTTAGGTATACTTCTACAATGTCTGCAGTGAGGCAGTAGTGGGGCAGTCTATAGTGATGTCCAGTTCTGGGGCATAATGCCATAGACCATAGACATTTAACATCATGTCCCACCCAGTTAAATTATAATGACACCAGGCCGGCCAGTCGTAACATTAGTGTCTTAATGCTAAGCGCCAAGTGAGAAATCTTCTAGTACCATTATTACAAAATCTTTGGTATTACTCGGCTAACCGCAACATTCTGAATTCGAGGCGGACGCTCTAAGCATTAGGCCAAATGAACGATGCAAATCAAAAGATATCCGCAGTTAAATTATAATGACACCAGGCCGGCCAGTCGTAACATTAGTGTCTTAATGCTAAGCGCCAAGTGAGAAATCTTCTAGTACCATTATTACAAAATCTTTGGTATTACTCGGCTAACCGCAACATTCTGAATTCGAGGCGGACGCTCTAAGCATTAGGCCAAATGAACGATGCAAATCAAAAGATATCCGCGAAAATCTCGAAAATCATTTTCGTGTCGCTCAGATTAGATTGCATTCTAAATAAATGTTTGAGCAAATTGATAAAACATGTTATATACTTGAACTTTTCGCATATTGGGTTTGTTACTTCTACCCGCACCACACCAACCCCTCCCTTCCTACATCTAGCGATATATGTGGAGATTGGATAACGGACGGACAATAAAGACGGTATCAATATCCTTGTCGCAGAATAATCTCGGGTGCGGCTACAACATTATATATTGTCTTAATAGATGAAGCTCAGAAAGATTTCACGCTGCACGTATAAAAGTAAGTCAATAACCTTGTGGGGTTTGTCCATTCTTGTTATTTCTGCTATATTCCATAATTAATAGATTTCTGTTAGGTTTTGGAGTGGATAATAAGTCTCGAAAGACAGACAATTATAAGTAGTTATCCAATTTAGGACTCTGTACGTTCATGCTCCGTACTGCGAATCTTTCTGAGCCCACCAGTTCACTGAAAACCTTACTGTGTAATTTTTTGAGCATATCACACATGTGAGCGCACTATTGTGTAACATTTAAAGCACAATACTTCTGTGAGCATATATTTTGTGTAACATTTACAGAACAATACTTCTGTGAACATATATTTTGTGTAACATTTACAGCACAATATTTTTGTGTGCACACGTCTGTGTAATGTTTCTGACGACACAAAATCACGAGTCTGTGAAGTCAAACATTATACTTTTGACGTAATCTCTTCCTTTTTACTTAAATTGGCTTCAAAAGTTTTAGTTAATTTATTAAGTTTCAAAAAGCTAGAGAATAACACGTTTGCGTGATTACGTCATTTAATCTTAGGGCAGGGGTAATTTTCTTGCAAATTTCAGACTATCGGTAAATATTTACCGATCAAGTTATGTTTATTATCTACATAAGGGACCAAAAGAGAAATATTTTTATGATATGTCCTCTTATAATAAAATATATACTTTTCTTCAACCCTTTTTCTCTCTCATTGTTTTACTCTATTTATGTCTCGGCCACAGTCACATGCACCCATGCATCCTTCATACAGTCCATTGACAATAAAAACTAGTTCTTCATATGATCCGAAACCTTGAGTTTAGCCATTCGTGGTGTGATACCTTTATCTATTCCATGTTTGAGATGCGCACATTCCTCACGGATGTTATCGATCGATACGGAAAATGGGTTGCAATTATTCTGACATCAGAATTTTTCAGACACATCTGGAGGGATATAATCAGCAAGATCCGTTGTTAGAGATGTTGTTCTGTGGACAATGCTACATGTATATATAACAATTTCGTAAATAGGAAATACAAAGGAGGAGTTTCTCCTACAGCTTCACTGATGTAAGTAAAAGACAATATACAAGATGACATCAGCAACATTTTTATATAGCTAAATTTATGATAATAATGGAGATTTTAAAGATTTTAAACAGTGTATATATGTTTATCTGTATGGAATTGGACATCTTAAAATTGCATTTTTCGTAAAGGTCTTGAGCATGAAATATATTAGTGTTATAGATACCGAAAAAGGGCGTACAATGTCTGTGAAATCAATTTACTAATGCAGTCGATGGCTTGCATTTCTACATAATCGATACATAAACCGAAGATCACATCGGATATAGGATTAAAATGGGGAAGAATTCCAATAAAGGACACACTGTACTAATTGTATTTAAAAATGGGAACCAGCCTAGAAATGCGTGAACTTTAAATAGAGTATATACGGGTTTGGCTGACCAGGATTGGTTAATAATGTAAGTTATGTTGTAGGAAAAGAATCTTTTGAGGCCTTATCCTAGTTGAAATTGAATAAAAATGTAGACATTGTTTTACTGATGGAATTTCAGTTCTTTAATAGTCTTGAGTTTGGAACACTCATTACTAAAATTAGCACCAGACTCTCTGGTGCGGAAATAAAAGCACATGCTTCAAACATATGCAGCTCCAGAAAATGCCTCGGCACAGAAGCTGACTTCCAGGTTTCATCTATACTGATAAATATAAATTGGGTCATGAGCACTCCAAAATTTTAAATTATTGAATTTCATTGTGTTTGCATAGGTTTACTAGGGGAACTGAATTAGTACCGTGATTCCTAAAGAAGTGAAGGAAAGCATGTTACTCAGACGCGGGAGTGGGGTTGACAATGACGAGTGCAAAGAACAGCAAGGGAACGCAAAAAGAAAAATAAGGGAACGCCATTCCCTCGCGTTTCCACAGCCCTAAACTCTGCTCATTACTAAACATATGAATATCGTATTACACTGTATAATCAAATGCATACGTTCCATGGAAAAATAATTAATACGACACTGGCAACATATTGTAAGTTAGCTATTACTAACAACATATAATAAGAACCTTTAATATATTGGTTTTTTATTTAAATTTTACTTATCTGAAGCATTATTGTTATTTCGTTTCGGGAATAAATGGAAATTATAGGCATCAGATTGCTTCATTTTATATTAATTTTGTTTACTACCGTTGGCTATTTTTTGTTAAGATTCACCAATACAATGGAATAGTCGCCTCGCTCCTTCAGTTAGGAGCAATTAAGTACATTTTGTTTCACTTAATATCTATTAAAAAATATACCAAAGTTATATTCATTTTATTTTTTAGGCTGTTGTTATTTGCAGGTATGTTTCTTAATACCAATATATTTGTTACAGTATTCATTCGTATTGATCTCAAACACACACACACACACACACACACACACACACACACACACACACATTGTGAT